TTCCTGGCGGAGAGTGTCTGCCTTGTTCCCTTGCACAGCCTTCTGCCTCGGTTAGAGGTAGGGAAGACGATTTGCGATGACTTGCTCTTCAGAGCGCTTGCTTTCCTAGCCTCCTCCTTCAGCATGGTGTCTGCCGTTTCACGAGTTGTACTGCGATTCCGGTGTGAGCCCACTGGTCAGGCCCCACTTGTGGGTGTAGGTGACACCGGATGTGAGGTACTGTTTCTAGGCAGTCAGCTTTCCCACCAGCGTGGTGTGCGCTGTCTGTGTGTCAGTCTTCTAGGACGGCCGACACAGAATATTTTCTCACAGTCCTGGAGGCTGGACGCCCAAAACCAAGGTGCTGGCAGGGTTGGTTTCCGATGAGGCCTTTCTCCTTGGCGTGCAGGTAGCGGCCGTCTTGTTGTCTTCTCACATGGCCTTTTCTCTGTCTACATATACTCCTATGTAGTGTATGTAGTGCATACGGCCCGTGGGCCACATGCAAAGGGGGAGCGCCGCTCAACCAGAAGCTGAGCTCACAGCTGGTGTTTGCAGCCGAGTGGTGGGAGCCACTCCTGCCTCTGCTGCAGGAGGGTGGTAAGGAGCGAGGGGTCCCAGACTGCAAGAGGGATGTCTGACTGCCGGCTTAGGGCCCTAGGGATCGGGCCTAAGCTGGCAGGTAAACATCCCCTGAGGGGTCCCAGACTGTGAGAGGGTGCAGGCCAGGCTGAGGGACTCCCCAAGCCCCAGTGCACAAATGTGCACGGGGCCTCTAGTTTTAAATAAATAGTCAGCAGGCACTTTGCAGTTGAAGCAGACCTGGATGAGCTCCCAATGGAGTAACATGCACATCTTTACTCGGGGCGTGGGGAAGATGGTGGCGATGCCACTGTGTGGATTGAAGTAGTGGAGTCATGAACACAGGCACTGGTGGCTCCTCCGGGCACCAGCAAACTGCAGGGCTGCCTTCCGACGGGGCAGGGCAGGGAGCTTAAGGCAGGAGCCCACCGGGAAGGCAGCCTGACCGCTGTCTGTCGGGGGTCAGCTGCCTGTCCTGTCTGGGCAGACCTGGAGCTGGACAGTGAGGAGACCATGGGCTGCTTGAGTCCTTTTTGGCCACCTCTCAGGCATGGTGGCTTCTGGGAGGGTGCACCTTGGCTGATGGATGTGGTGCTGGGTCCATCCTTTCTCACCTGCGTGGGTGGGGCTGGAACCCTGCTCTCTGGGGGGCCTCCAGGATCCAAGGGTAGAGTGCAGCGGCCCATTGGCGGCTGGGGTCCACAGTTCCTCGGGGAGGCGTCAGCTGGCTGGACACACCCCAAGCCTGGAGCTCATAGAACCCCAGGGGGCACCTGACCACTTCAGCTTCAAACCTTCCCACCAAGGCTCTGTCTTGATCGCCCCTCCCTTCTCCATCTGCCCTTCATTCTTCCCTGTCCCCAGTGCCCTTTGAGTCCTTCACAGCGAGATCCTGGTGGGATTTCTCCCGTTTCTCCCCTGCGCATAGTGGGTGCAGCCAAGGCCTCCTGGACTGGGGACACAGACCTCCCAGCGCTTTTCCTCGCCTGCCAGAGCTGGTCCACTGAGGTCTTGCTCCCCTACAGGCTGTTCGGAGTGGGATCTGCGTGTGTCCTGGTGGTTTGTTTGCTTGTGTTTTTTGGAGGTGGCGTGTGCCCGGCAGTGGTGTGTCCCCGCCTGCCTGGACTGGGGCTTGGTGAGCGTGGGGGCTTCTTTCACCAGCGTGTAGGCCCCTGGGAACATAGGGACTACCTGTTGGGGACAGTGCCACTTGGATACCTGCTTCCTTTGGAGGCCAGCGGTTGGGTTGGCTGTAGCTCAGGGACACAGTGAGCCCCTTCCTCGCCTGGGTGCGTGGGGAGCGTGTGCCTCACGTCGGGGCCAGCAAGTATCAGGGGGCACCACATGTGCCCCAGTCCCAGGAGCACAGCTTCCTCTCCTGCAGGACGGGGGGTGAGCTGGAGGTCGGGGAGCCTCCTGTGCACGGGTGCGCTGGCTCCGCGAGTGGGGGCTGTGCCTATTAAAAGCAGAGGCGGCCTTGTGGTTGGAGTGTTGCCAGAGGCTATAAATAGCTGAGTGTGTGCAGAAGCAGAGCTTGCCAGGGAGGAGGGAGGCAGGGGGAGGCCCCTGGGTCTCCAGCTGGCAGCAGAGCCTGGGCGTGGTGTGGGAGGGGCCAGGTCCCCCTTGGGCTCTGAATGCCAAGTTCTTGCAGGTGTGGGTGTGTGCACACTTCCCGCTTGGTGGGTTGGGGGCCCGGGGGGGCTCATGTTGTGAGGGGTTTTCCTGGGCAGCAGGGGCAGGTATGGCTCTAATATGCCATCTAACACACCCGTGCCGGGCACTGCCCTGACCACTCTGAAAGTGCACGAACTCATCTCTTGGAGCCGAGCTAGAAGTATGTGCCCTTAGCACTCCCTTTTCACGAGCAGGAGACAGGGCTGGGTGGTTTGGTAACTTGCCCCGGGTCACACCGCTCAGAAGCATCAGAGCCAGGATTTGACCGAAGACTGACCGCTCATGGTTGCATTTCTTGTCCACGTGTAGGAGGGTCTGGTCAGAGGGGGGTTTGGTGGCATCCCACATCTGTGTGTCCTCCCCCTGGGGCTTGAGATTTGGGGTTCCCAGCCCTGTGCGCTTGGGTCCTGCCCACGGTAGTGGCCAGTGGGGGTCCCCACCTGATCCGGGGCCTGGGAGAGGGGCTGGGCCACTCGCGGTGTCTGTGGGCCTCCCTTGCTCTGGCTCCTAGCCTTGCATAGGGGGCTTGTTGCTTGTTGTCAGAGTGGAGAAGGAAACTCCTCAGAGGACTCGAGAGTTTGGGCAGCAGGCCCCCCCTTCTGTTGTCCCCTCCCTTGGAAACCCTGCCCTAGCCAGGAGCTAACTATGTCTTTCTGTCCGTTCCTTGGTCCTTCTGTCTGTCCATCCCTCGTGTCCAGAACTGGTCTTAGCACTCAAGACAGCCAAGGCTTCTGCCTGCATCAACTTTGCAGTCTCGCCGGGGAAGCCGGACATTTAAAAAGCAGTTGTTGAGCACATTCTAATATCCTACTTCTTCTACGAGCCTTCATGATGTGACTTCCTCCTGGGAATTAGCGTTGGTTACATCATTTTTGCTCTCTTTGAATGTCTGAAATACCCCTTTAACAACAGCAGTCCAGGGTGATGAGCTGGGTTTTGGAGGAAGCATGAAGGCATGTGGCAGCAGCGTTGACCTGGTCTCCAGGGAGAGGGAAGAGCTGAAATGTAAAGGGGAGAGTGGGGAGCATCTTGCAGCCAGAGGTGGTCGCTTGCGCTAACTCAGCCCAGGAGCCCAGCGTGGTCAATGCCTGGTCGTGTGGTGACTGCGGTGAGGAGCAGGTGGGAGGTCCCTGTCTGCTCACGAGTCTCAGTCCCTGGGGACCCCTACGGAATTGCTGCTGGAAGTGCTGTGGGCCCCCAGGCTGGGGGAGGAGGCCCCGTGCCCTCTGGACTTGGGGGGGCGGGGCTTTGCATAGCCCGGCCCCCAGATGCTGTAACTGGTGGGTAAGGGTCTGTGTGCATTGTGGGAGCCAACCTGGGTCCTGGTCCTGGTGTTCCCTCAGCCTGTGGTCCTCCGCCCACCCTGCTCCCTCAGGTTCTCCCCTCAGACCTCAGGTCCCTTCAGCTGGACGCAGGGCCTGGCTGGGGGGGCACCAGTGTGCACCCTGCAGAGCCCCTTTGTGGGCCCTGTGGACCAGGCTGGGTCCCAGCTGCCTGGGGGTCAGGAACCCACTCTTCTTACTTGTGTCTGAGTCTAGGCCCCATGGATTCAGGGCGTTTGTGGCCCCCCCGCCCCCGGGTTAGGGTGAGGTCTTCTGTTGCTGTTCCAGCCAGCCTTTCAGGCTGAGTAATGGTGAGGCAGGGGGTGCCATGGACCGCCCCTCCCGCCTTTCTGGGGCTGTAGGGGAGTCCAGCAGGGGTGGTGGCAGGCCACCAGCTGGCAGTAGGGAGGTGGAGAGGCTAGGAGGGAGCTTGGTGCCGGTGTTAGGCAGTGAGGTTGTAAGGCTGAGGGTTAGGGGTACCCCTTAAAGAGACGATGGCAGGGCGCTCCCAACCCGAGGCCTGGGAACATTTCAACCTAGGCGTTGGGGGGGCGGGTTGGGGGTTAGGCCTGGGAGCCAGCCTCCTTGGGCCTCTCCTCCTCCTTCCTGCCACAGGGCTGTGGGGGGTGGGGCAGTGGGGCAGATCTGGGGGCTGGGACTGGGGTTGTTTGGAGGGGATGGGTGAGAGGATGGATTTGGTGAGTTCCAGGCCGCGTTTGAAGGAGCAATTGAGGATCCAACTTTCAGCCTGGATGGCACTTGAGCAGGGGGCGCAGGAGCGGGTGGGCAGGGGGCTGTGGGGGATACACCAGCAGTGTCTCCCTGGGGGACTGTGGCGAGCAGGGGTTGAGGCAGAGACAGCAGCAGCCGGGGCTGAGGTCTATAACAGAATCAGCTGAGACGGGGGTGATCGAAAACGTGGATTTGCCCCAGTTCCAGTTGGATAGGTCTGGGCTGAACCCCCAACCCCCGCCTGCACACGCAGTGCTGCTGATGTGCACGAGGCTTTGAGGGCCCCTCTAGTCATGGCTGCTGTAGGGGAGCAGCCCCCACCCAGGAGCCTCAGACGGCGGCGGAGCCCCCTTTGTTGCTTCTGGCCCGCAGTCTGGGTGTCTGTTTCTCCGAGCTGTGTTGTTAGGTGTGTGGCCGCCTCCCTCTTGATTGGGCCAGGGGGCAGTTGGAGGGGGGAATGGGATGGAGGCGGGTGCTGGCTGGCACATTAACCGTTTGACTGCTAAGGAGCGCTATCGCGCTCTTCTTATTTAAAACAAATTTATGTAAACAATTGGTATTTTTTAATTTTTGTTGTTGCAAAGCAATACAAGTGAGTTTATTGTAAATTGTTTTACATTTTTCCCCATACACGCGCAATTAGTGCCGCAGTTTTGGCATATGTCCGAAAAAATACGTCAGCAGCCAAACGGTTAAACTAATTGGTGTCGAATGGGTGGGTGGCGTGGTGCTTGGCACCCACCCCCCGCCTCCCTCAGGGTGGCCTGGGTCCAGGACAGGGAGCCGAGGCGGGTGGAGTGCTCAGCAGGTCTCCCTCGGGGTGCCACGCAGGTTCCGGGCGCAGCGAGGCCGAGACGCGGGAGTGCATCTACTACAACGCCAACTGGGAGCTGGAGCGCACCAACCAGAGCGGCCTGGAGCGCTGCGAGGGCGAGCAGGACAAGCGGCTGCACTGCTACGCCTCCTGGCGCAACAGCTCGGGCACCATCGAGCTCGTCAAGAAGGGCTGCTGGCTGGACGACCCCCCCGCCTGCCGGCACCCTGCCTGCTGACCGCACGGGTCTCAGGGTGTGTGAGACTGAGCCTGGCATTTAGGGCCAGAGGGGAAGGACAGGGGCTCTCGAGAGCTGGGACACGCGGGGTGCTGCGGGGTCCCCGACCCGAGGAGCTCTGAGTGAGTGTCCACCCTGCTGCCCCTCCCAGACTTTCGGTCCCACTTGCCGGGAGGTGGGTGTACGCTGTCCCCCTGGGGTTCCCCGTGAGGCTCTCTGTCGGTGGGGCGGGGTTTGGCTGGGCCTCAGCTGAGGGGTGTGTGGGAAACTGTGCCCCCAGGCAGGAGTGTGTGGCCACCGAGGAGAACCCCCAGGTGTACTTCTGCTGCTGTGAAGGCAACTTCTGCAACGAGCGCTTCACCCACCTGCCCGAGGCTGGGGGCCCGGAAGGTGAGGGCCGAGGGAGAAGCAGGCTCGGGCCGCTCCTTGGCCCGGGAGGAGTGCTCGGCTCCGGAGTTGGGTGGGGCGTGGCTGCAGGCCTCTCTGGCCCTAGAGGTGCGGGGGTGGGCGGGCTGTGTGACACAGGGCTCCGTGTGTCCCCCAGTCACGTACGAGCCACCCCCGACAGCCCCCACCCTGCTCACGGTGCTGGCCTACTCACTGCTGCCCATCGGGGGCCTCTCCCTCATCGTCCTGCTGGCCTTCTGGATGTACCGGCACCGCAAAGCCCCCTACGGCCACGTGGACATCCATGAGGTGAGGCGCGGGCTCGGGGCAGGGCAGGGTCGAGGTGGCGAGGCCAGGACAGGCGCTTTAAGCCCTGATCTCCCCCAGGACCCTGGACCTCCACCCCCATCCCCTCTGGTGGGCCTCAAGCCACTGCAGCTGCTGGAGATCAAGGCTCGGGGGCGCTTTGGCTGTGTGTGGAAGGCGCAGCTCATGAACGACTTCGTGGCTGTCAAGATCTTCCCACTCCAGGTGAGCGTTGGAGGGGCTCCAGGCCGTCCGGCTGTGCTGTGGCCTGAGCTCTCCTGTCCCCGGGCAGTGCAGGCCCTTGTAGGTGGGGTGAGAGAGAAGCGGGCCCCCTTGGGCGTGGCGACATTCACTGTGCGGCTAGCTAGGGCTCTGCAGAGCCACTCTGGTTTTCAGGGCTTTGTTCTGGACATCAGGTTCTGCTTAGAGATCCTGGACGCCAGGCTCCCCAAGCAGTTTCCTGAGACCCTCAGCAAAGCCGGGCCCAGCCGTGTCTCTCGTGTGTGGGGTGATACGGGGCCACTCGCTCCCCTCTCTGGACCTCAGGGCGCCCGCTTGTGAATCCGGTGCTGAGCCTTAGTGGCCTCAGGGATCACGCCTGGCCTCTGCTCCCGGGCCCGGCTCAGTGCGGGTCCCGCCTGCCTCCCTTCCAGGTGCTGAGGCTGGGGGCGTGGGGAACGGGGCGAGGGCGGTGGCTGCAGGGGGGTTCAGCCGTGTCCCTGCCTCAGGACAAGCAGTCGTGGCAGAGCGAGCGGGAGATCTTCAGCACGCCCGGCATGAAGCACGAGAACCTGCTGCAGTTCATCGCGGCCGAGAAGCGCGGCTCCAACCTGGAGGTGGAGCTGTGGCTCATCACGGCCTTCCACGACAAGGTGAGCCGATGAGCCGCGGCCGGGGAGGTGGGCGCCCAGGCTGGGTGAGCGCGACCACAGCCCCTCCCCTGCCGGCCTTCCACAGGGAGGGACCCTGCCGTAGGTATGGACACGAGTGCCTACAATAAGAAGCCCTAACTCTGGGATACATTCTTATGAATAAGAGTAGTGGCTTCATAACTAAAACCTCTGACCACGCCCCCCCCTCCCCCCCTACTGGCCTCATATATCTTCTGCATCAACTCCAGCCGCCAGGGGGCGACCCCAGCCGTCAGTCCCCTGAGACGGCCTCCCAGGCTGGTCTGGTCCTGCCCTGTCCCCAGCACCTGTCCCCACGGTCTGTGTGTCTCCCCTAGGGCTCCCTCACGGATTACCTCAAGGGGAACATCATCACGTGGAACGAACTGTGTCACGTGGCAGAGACCATGTCCAGAGGCCTGTCGTACCTACACGAGGACGTGCCCTGGTGCCGTGGAGAGGGCCACAAGCCGTCTATCGCCCACAGGTACCTGGGTTAGCAGTGGACCCCCCTGGGCTCGGCCTGGGGCTGCAGAGAAGGTTGGAGGGCGAGAACAGGGCCTGGGGCGGGAGGGGGCGTTGTGTGTGTCCTCAACTTCAGAGACACGCCCGGCCACTCTGTGGGGTGTCAGAAATGACTGGGCGCAAAGACCAGGGCCCACCTGCTGCCGCTGCCGCTGCCTGCTGGCCACCCCTGTCCCGGGCCTGGCCTGGCCTCCACGCCGGTTTCCTGGTGCCCTCCAGTGGCCACTGTGGAGAGTTGGCTCAGAAGTTGTGTTTTTGGTTCCAGTCTGTACTGTTAAAACACTTCTGTGTATGTGGCTTATGTCTATTGATATTTGCTGTATTAAAGCACCCACATCCCACCAGCTGTCAGAGTGATGACATTACATGTACGTAGTCTCTGGGAAACTACTCTTGAGAGAATGAGCTTAAGAAAGCCAAATAATAGATGGCTGTGAGCATAGTTTTGTCCTTGCAGATCCCCCGAAACAGTCTCAGGGACCCTCCGGGAGCCGCTGTGTTCGCTCCTCACCTTAGTGGGGTGCCTGGCAGCCAGTGCCCCAGACACTTAGGAGTTCCCGCCCGTTTTACCCTCTGTGCCGCCAGGAGGTGGCTTTTCTCCGCCCCGGCTCACAGAGGAGGGAGCAGCAGTACAGAGAAGCCGAGTAGCTTAGCCGTATCTGGTTTAGTGCGGTTCTGTGGCTATGAGGGAGGGGAATGCGAGGGCCCCTAACGGTACTAACAGTGATGTCATAAAAGGTTGACTGTATGAAATTGCCATTTTTGTAGGTCACAAACGGTTGAGTGTCGACTCTTCCATATGGTTCAACCTAACAGTAGTGCCTAGTAAGTGTGCCAGGGGCGTCCCCGAGCATGTAGTCCTCACACCAAGGCTGAGACAGGCACTGGGGAGACTGAGGACCAGAAGTAGCTGCCAGTGCCAGGTGGGCTGAGCGCACACCAGCACCCTGCTCCGCGCCTGCCTCCGTGGCGGGCGTGGGCCCCACGGGCCTGGACGGCAGCCCAGGCAAGCTCAGCTTCTGTGCTCACTCACATTCTAAACACTATAGACTCTTCTCAGGAAACATGAATCCAGGTCAGGGTGCCGCCCTCAACTCCCTGCGAATGCAGGCCTGACCTCTGACATGGGACTGGGATGGAGTTGGCCCGGCCACTGAGGGCAGGTGTCGCTCTGACAGCTCCGGGGGAAATGCAGTTAGGGATGCTCGTGCCAGCGTAGGGGGGATGTCCTAAAACCGCCCGCCTGCAGCTTTGTGGAACTCCGCCCTGGTGCTGACCCTGCTCCCGGGTCTCTGGCGGCTGTAGGGCAGGGCACCAGCTCCAGAGCCTTGAGAGCCAGGATGGGAACCCAGGAGCAGGTAGGCGGGACCGGGTGTTCATCTCATCTCAGCCAACTTGTCTCCCTTCACGGCCGTGCTGGCTGACTTCGGCCTGGCTGTTCGGTTTGAGCCGGGGAAACCTCCCGGGGACACCCATGGGCAGGTAACAGACTTGGGGTGTGAGAGGGGGTGGTATTGCCCTTGTGGTGCTCAGCTGGCAAGGCGCAGGAGCCAGGGTGGCTGCGTGAACCCAGAGTGCCCCCAGACCTTGAGAACAGGGCTCATGCACTGCCAGGGAGAGCATGGCCTGGGCGGCGGCGAGGGAGCCGGGCCGGGCAGCTGAGACGTGCCAAGGATTCCTGGTGGGGGTTTTGGCTGCTTGTCCTTGTTGCCTCGGTTTTACTCTCCCTTTTTCTTTTTAGTTATAATTATTAAGCAAGATAACACAGAAAGAAATATATTAAAAACCCCAACCCAACAACGTAGAACAAATAAGTAAAAAATTAAATCATTCTAAAACTGTCCCTGTTTGTTTATTTATACACACACACACATACACACACACTTTGGTTCTAGAGAAATCAGGTGCTTTTTTTTTTCTCCCCTGTTCATATTTTTAAGTATTGTCCTCCCCTTTTGTTTTTGGTGTTAATCTCAGTGAAACACACATCTGTGTGGCCCGCGTGGTGTTGACGGGGTCAAGGCGGCAGTTCCAGGTTAGCTTACTGCCGTCTCGGGTGTGTGACGTGTTAAGTGATCGCTGCGGTACAGTTTACACCGGGACCTTTCGTGACCCTCTCGGGAATGTGGTGCACCGTGCCTGGCCGTCACTGTCGGCGCCTGCTCTGAATTCTGCCGCCGTGGCCCATCCCGTGCACAAGGGATGTAGCTCCCTGTCCGGTTGTGAGAGCATCGAGCGTGGCTGGTGACTGTTGACCCTCCCCGTCCTGTGTAGGTGGGCACGCGGCGGTACATGGCCCCCGAGGTGCTCGAGGGGGCCATCAACTTCCAGAGAGACGCCTTCCTGCGCATCGACATGTATGCCATGGGGCTGGTGCTGTGGGAGCTTGTCTCCCGCTGCAAGGCCGCCGACGGTGAGTTTGTTCTCACCCCCAGGACCGGTGGACGAATACATGCTGCCCTTTGAGGAAGAGATCGGCCAGCACCCCTCGCTGGAGGAGCTGCAGGAGGTGGTCGTGCACAAGAAGATGCGGCCCGCCATTAAGGATCACTGGCTGAAGCATCCGGTGAGGGCCTGGGTGGCAGGAACCTGAGATCAAGGGGGCATGGGGCAGAGAGAGAGGATGTCTCAGGCAGCAGGACAACGCGCCTCTTCCGCCAGGCCAGAGGCCCCTTAGCGCCTTTCCCCTCCCTCCAGGGGAGCGCTAGGTTCCGTGCTCTGCAGGGAGGGGCGCTGGTTTGCTGGGGCAGAACCCAGGTTGCCCCGTGTGGGTCAGCTGTGCCGTGGAGCCTGCTGGCCCTGAGCCTGCCCAGCTTGGTTTGAGTCCTGGATTTGCCCAGGAGTGGCTGGGCGGCTTCGGGCCAATGGCTTTATTTCTCTGGGCCTCCATCTCCTCAGGGTAGGAATAGATTTAATGAGTTATCATTAGAAATCTCTTGGCAGGACACCTGCATTGTATAAGCATTGAATATGGGTTTGCTCTGGTTAAGTATTCTCTGTTTTCTGCCGTCATCATTTTCTGGGCATGTGCTGAGCTGCGTGGCATCTGGGCTCCTCCACTCTGGGCACAAAGACTCCAGCTGTGTCAACCATCTCCTCTCTTGGCAGGATACTTGCCCTCAGCTCCATTGAGCCCCATCCCCCTGCTCACTCCAGGGTCAATTCAGAAAAAGGACAGGCTTGGGATCACTGGGGCTAGCGCTCTACCACCCACACCGTCCGGGGTCAAGCTGCCGAGGCCACGTTCAGCTGCCACGCTGCTCCCTGGAACCCAGGGCTGCAAGTGGGGAAGGGGGAGGCTGGGCCGGAGCCCGCCTCTGCCTCAGACTTTCTCAGTCTCCCCAGGCAGAGGTGCTGGGGCAGCCGGTCCCGGTCCTTGGACAGCAGTCCAAGGTCCAGCGAGGTCGCGGTGTGGCCAAGCAGGCCAGAGAGCCCCCGGATGTGGGCATTCTGTCCATAGTCTGCCTTTCCCAGCTCCGCACAGTTGGGTCCCTCATAGGGTGTCATGCCACCACGTCCTCGAACTTGGGGGAGTGGCCCCAGGGGCTGCGGGGTGTAGGGTGGGACCGTGCCCTCTGGTCTCCACTGTGACCACTGCTTTTTGGGCCCCTGCATGACTTGTGCTTCCCGGGAGATTTTGTCTGAACGTCACTGTGTCTGCCCCAGGAGGGTCCTGGTTCCCCCGCTTCCTACATTGAGGTTCAGGGGACCTTCCTGTGCGGGAGGCCGTGGGCTCAGGATGGTGCCTCCTGCTGATGGGCATCTTCTGGGGTTGGGATGCCCGTGGGCTCTGCCTGACCCTGGGCAGCATCACCAAGCTGGCTGTCCCCCAGGCGTGTCCTCCCTGCAGGACAAGACAGGGCTGTTTCCCTCTCCCCATCCCTCTCCCCACCCCCGTGGTGCAGGGCCTGGCCCAGCTCTGTGTGACCATTGAGGAGTGCTGGGACCACGACGCGGAGGCTCGCCTGTCTGCGGGCTGCGTGGAGGAGCGGGTGTCCCTGATCCGGCGGTCGGTCAATGGCACTACCTCGGACTGTCTGGTCTCCCTGGTGACCTCTGTCACCAACGTGGACCTGCCCCCGAAGGAGTCGAGCATCTAAGCCCAGGACGCGAGAGGCTCTCCAGACTCGACGGATCTGAAGAGGAAAGGAAAGGAAAGAAGTGTTTTGTTCCGGAAGTCCCACACCACCAACAAACACATAAAATGCAGCTGCTATTTTACCTTGACTTTCTATTATAATTATTATAATTATTATTATTAATGTTATTTTGGGGATCGGATCAGTTCTACCAGCACATTGCTCTACTGTAT